TTTAGTATCTCTACAACAGCTAAATTTAAACAGAAGGGAACATGTTGATCTATCCGATTTTTTCCAAGGCCAGGTGTCTTGACAACTGTCGTTGAGCATATTACGTGCTCGAAGGCAAATATCCCTTAGCTTAGACACAAGCTTTAAGACACACTCAGGTTTATTGAGTTGTCCGATAGTAAGCTTAAACCACGTAAAAAAGTGTCACCACTTTCAGAGATTTCTGTAAAAGATCAAGACAAATAAGATGTTGCTGAAGAATGACTAGAGGTTCAAAGACATTGTGCCACACTATTAGGCCTTATCAAACTTATATAATACGGTAGAGAACAGTGGTTTTCTTTACGAGTTCTATTGAAGATTTTCAAATTGGTTCAATCTCTGAACTTATTCGCCTAATGTACACTCTGGAGTTACTAATGATGCCTAACCTGTAGACATAAATGCAGTCTTGTAACAGGTAGTTAGGATTGTAACGTGAATTACGTAAATGTACTGATGCCAAACAATGTTATTCATGAACTTAGAGGGGAAAATCAACAGTATTTTAAGGCACTTAACAACGTCATAAGCATTTATTTTGAAGAAAATTCACTAATGTTTCGTAAGGCTGTAGAGTCCACTTATCACCTTGAAAAATCCTAGTTGCAATGCCTAAACAGTAGAGACGTGTTCCTAATACATCTAACTTTATTAGTTGACAAAAAAGCTAGAGAAATTCAACGTATACACTACGTTACCTGACAGTCATTTAGAGATAGACCTCTAAATACAGAAGACAGATTAAAAGTACAGACTTCACGGGCAAACCACTTAGATCTCATAGGAAAACATCGTCCATACCTTTAATATACGTACTAAATGCTATGCCATGAGTTTGAAATGACAGTCTAGAACGTAGATTTTCACCCTATTTCGCCAGACTTCATCAATGATGTATCACTCTGATGGTACTTTGTATTTATAAGATCATATTGTTATTCCTCCTGTATTACGTGGATCTGTTTTTCAGATATTACATAGTGGGTATTTTGATATTGAGAAAATGAAATATTTGGTAAAGCTCAGATGACGACTGCTGTGGATAAATAAGATATATTTTGCACGGCAACACAATTACGAAAAACTTCACAACTTACAAAGTCATCCCTCAAAGTGAACTCCATTGACAGTGTAGTCTGAAGTCTAGAAGAGAACCTATGCAGAAACAACCCTCCAGAATCCAACACTAGGTTTGACGCAACTGTTGTTGCTTCTCCCAGCACCGTTGACGTGTGGGTACAGGTTGTAGGGAAGAAAAAAAGTAGCGATATAAAAGGTAATCCTACCCCCGCGAAAGTGGTCGTAAAATCGAAAGCTGATCATAGCAACAGATCAGCTATTTTTCATAGAATCAAGGAGAGCAAGAGCTCTGAACCTAAAGCTCGTTTTGAGCATGACATTGTGCTGATTAAGCAGCTGCTTAATCAACTCATGCCTCAAAATATCACCGGGGTCACCTTGCTAAAGGTGTACAGACTAGGGAGTATAGCGGACTTGAAACCAAATCATTTCAGACTGCTTAAAGTAGTATTCAACTCTTCGAACGAACGTTACCTAACTTTACAGAATGGACACAAATTAAAGGGTCCTGGACTTACCGTTGGCAGACCGTGTTAAAAGACGGGAAGCCGAAAAAGAACTACAACTTAGGTTAGACGGTGGCGAAAAGAACCAAAAAATTGTAAATTTTCAGGTTGTAAGGCTTCGACAGAGAATGATGACGAAGCCACTTAAATAGGCTTCGGATCTGCTACACTAATGCCCGGAGCTTACTTAATAAGCGATCGGAACTAGGTGTACAGATTGACTCTACAAAGCCAGACATAACCGCAGTTACAGAAACCTGGCTGACACAGGCTATAGATAGTATGGAACTTGATTTCGAGTGTTTTACGTTAGTAAGGGCCGACAGAATACAAAAGCGTAAAGGAGGGGGAGTAGCTCTATTCATTAGAATTGCTATCCCACTTGTCATTATCGACAGTGTATCCCATGAGAGTGGGACGTGTGAATTAGTTAGTCTCCACTTGAAATGCAAAGGACAAGAGCTGCCGATTGGTTTGGTCTATCGCAGTCCAAGCTGTGAGGTAAATGAAGTCCTGCTGAGAAGTCTCAATACTTGGTCACAAAGTGGTCGATGTCTAAACCTAGGGGACTTTAATGCACCTATAGTAGACTGGGAAAATCTGTGAACTGAATCGTCAGAAAATTCCTTTAAGCAGGAACTAGTGGATGCGGTTATCAAATGTGTCCTAGTGCAGCATGTGAAAGAAGCGACTAGGTACGCCCCGGACACTGAATCATCCTTACTAGGTCTTATATTGACTCACTATGAGGATGACGTTGCGAACCTCCATTACATGCCGCCCCTAGGCAAAAGTGATCACGCAGTTTTAACTTTCGACTTCCATATAACTGTCAGTCACGAGCACGCGTCAGCCCAATCCAGACCTGACGTCTGGAAAGCAAATATACAAGATATCACGCACTCAGCATCGTTAGTAGATTGGACAATAGACCCAGAGTCCTCAGTTGAAACGGCTTGGGACGCATTTCGAAGTTCATACTTAAAAGTTACCACACCCCACATCCCTTGGACTATACCAAGGGGCCGAGAAACTCCCCACCATGGTTCAGTAGGGAGGTCCGCATCCTTCTCCGTAAGAGAAGAAAAATGTGGGATAGATTTAGGTTACTGGGGACTGATGAAACTAAATCCCAGTATAGAAAAGTCCGGAATACCTATGCCTCGACTCTCCGTAAGTCTAGAAAGTTGTACGAAGAAAAACTTGTTAAGGAATCCATAAAATATCCTAAACGTTTATATTCTTATATAAACCAAAGGAAAAAGAGAAGAGGAAATATTACTGCTCTATGGGGAGACAGTACTGCCGCGTCACTGGTGTAGGACGACTTTAATAAGGCTCAAGTGTTCTCAAACTACTTTAGCAATGTATACACCATAGAAGCAACCTTCCCATCAGCGCATACAGATCCCCCACACATACACTGGATAGCGTGACCATTAAAGAACTCGATGTCTTTGGTCTACTAAATAAGCTTGACATAGGTAAATCCACGGGGCCCGATGAATTACATCCTAGGCTACTGAAGGAATTATCTAACTTCGTTGCGAACCCTTTAAGTATATGCTTTAACCTATCCGTAACGCAGGGTCGTTTACCCAAAGACTGGAAAAACGCCATAGTAAGTCCTGTCTTTAAAACAGGTACGAAACACAAACCTGAGAACTACCGCCCCGTTAGCCTAACTAGTGTGGTTGTTAAAATCTTAGAAAAGATTATTCGGAAGGAGCTGTTTAAGTATCTCGATAAAAACCGGATCCTTTCGGAGAAGCAGCACGGTTTCAGAATAGGTTACTCTTGTCTCACTAACTTATTAGTGGCTCGTGAAAGCTGGTGCGCTCTTAAGGACCAAAGCTACCTGTAGACGTAGCCTTCATTGATTTCAGTAAAGCTTTTGACAAGGTTCCGCACAACCGGCTGTTATATAAGTTAAGAAATGTCGGGATTGGAGGCAATCTATTTATGTGGATAAAAGACTTCTTAGTTGGGCGTCAACAAAGAGTAAGGGTGAACTCAAAGTTATCTAGCTGGGAAACTGTGCTTAGTGGAGTGCCCCAGGGTACAGTTTTGGGGCCAGTGCTATTCCTCTTGTATGTAAATGACCTTCCTTGTCTCCTATCATCATCGGTCTTGCTATATGCTGACGATGTCAAGATATGGAAAACGATACGATGTAAGAGTGATAGCTTAGAACTTCAAAATGACCTGAAGAGATTATCTGAATGGTCTCAAACATGGCAGTTGCCGATAAATACTTCCAAGTGTGTTGTGATGCATATCGGTCATCAAGGCACAGATACATACACGATGAATAACACTGAGCTACCTGTCGTCCAGACATATAATGACTTAGGAGTCATCGTTAGCCAAGACTTAAAGACTACTGCACACTGCCGTGCAATAGCCGCCAAAGTTTTAGAACGTTATGGTCAATACGTAGGGCTTTTAGTCATGTCGACGCTAAGACGTTTTTGACTTTGTATACAGTGTTCGTACGTCCTAAACTTGAGTACTGCATACAAGCGGCCAGCCCTTCCTAAAAAAAGACAGTGAGCTTCTGGAAAAGGTTCAGAGAACGGCAACTAAGCTGATTCCCGGAATAGCGAAGCTTCCGTATGAAGCTCGACTGGCCAAGCTGAACCTTTTCCCGTTGTCATATCGCAGAACTAGAGGCGACTTGATTACAGTTTTCAAATTGCTTAGTGCCAAATTTGCACCTGATATGCCCTCATTTTTCTTGTCTTCCAAAACAGAGAATTTACGAGGACACTCCAAAAAAGTTCACAAGCCAAGAACAAATTACTTGTCAGCTGACTATCGACTTTCCCATCGAATCATCAACGAGTAGTACTCATTACCTCAGCACGTGGTTGAGGCTCCATCCGTCAATTCTTTCAAAAGAAAGTTGGATCAACTGAGGGAACACCATTGCCAGGACTAACACAGGCTGTCGGGCCTCCTGTCCTCCGCAAACTGAAACTGAAACCAATGGTTTTATTGGGAAATAATACAGTCCACCAGTCCATCGTAATGTGCAGTAGCCTATAAAGGTATACGAAACAGTCATATTCTTCAACCAAAAGCTGAAGTTATTAAAATAGAAAGAACAATGTAACCACTTTTTACTTACACGCTGAGAGTAGCAGAAGTACTACTTAATTATTATGTAAACTCCATTTACGATTGTTCCCGAAAAAGTTGACATCACATATCCGTATGACTACATAAGAACCTAACAAGAAAGATCTACCGTATTTATGTATTGTTTTGAAGATTAATAAAACTCAATGTCAACGCAGTTGCTTATCTCAAGTCTCTTTGTTTAAATCATTCATTTCATATAAAAGTCGTTACGTGGGTAAATTTCTGTTGTTGTTTTTTTAGCGTGGTTTTGTGCGAATGGGGAGTGAGGCACTTGTTGTGATCCACCTTCGATTACACTTATTCGTATGATACTGTAAAATCATTGTTTTATTATACTAGTGATTCGTGAGTACTCGTGTAATAATCCCTTACATGATACACCGTGTCTTGTCCCGTGAAGGTACCTTCAACCTACTTTAAAATAAGATAGTTTTGAAAATAACTTGACTTCAGCGAATATATATATATAATTATATATGGCATTTGTTTGTGCTTACTAAAATATACCTGCAACTACAAATATCAGGAATCACTTAGGGGTTAATGGAATGTTCGCGAGATTCCACTCCCTCATTTTAAGCCAATAAAAACATGAGTCAGATGATCTGTCTGAAATTATTCCAAAAATATACCTTAAAATGTCTGCGTAAAAACGTTGACTATACAAAAGCGAAGATTGTAAGTGAATGAGAAATATACAGACACTATCCAACTAACACGAATATCAGTCCTTATTAATTTGGATAAATTCTGATCTGAAAGTCTTTTGCAGATATATATGACATCTCATGGCCATGAACAGTAGACTGATTAATCAGTGACTCCGTGCTATGGGAAGCAGTCATTGTACATGTTTATTTAATCACTAGAATTACTTGATAAGATCAACAGTTTGGATGGTAGTACCTTTTAACAGGTAGTATTGAAAGCCTTGCGGTGGTGTTAAGCTAGTCACACTTAAACTTTGTATGGGAGCGTTCATTTTTTTTGTTGATTGATAATTTAAAACTGCTCCTGTATACATTCGTAATTTAGAATTGTGGGTGTTTGTATGCTTGATGCTCCTAAAACCATGTATGCGGCGTTGAGAAGAAAAAAACAGCATAGTTCTAATTAAAGATAAACTTTACAACGAAATTATACTAGCTGTCGCTTTGGAATTAAAGATTCCATACCAAAACATTTCGTGAATGATACTAAAGAAAGGACATCCCATTCAGCTGGAATTAAATAGACAAACATGAACATTCTTGTGGCTATTACTAATGGAGCGCAAAATTGTCGACCTAGTCATTGTGACGTTAGAATGCTTATTTGTTTCATTACACATTGTTTCTGTGTTGTTTCTCATTCTTGCTCGCAATTTCAAAACCACCTCTTATTGCACGTTTGTAGATTTTAAGGAGTCAGTGAATCACCTGAATTTCTGTTCGTTTTTCTTTCTAGTACTCGCGTCGACCAAGCAATATATCGCTGCCGACCTGAAGCACGTTTTCCGCACTGCCGAAAGCGTGTCGGAGAATAAATACAAGCCGTTAACAATTTGAAGTTGCACCATGTTCTCTGTATTGGTGTCTTGTGGTACATATGATGGTAGTGTTTTTACGTTAGAATATCTCCATGATACTATTGATACTGCGGGTCCGAAACTGTTAAAACCACTATTCATCGACCCTACAGCACATCCATCGCCGGTCACAACAGTAGCTACCAAAGACGATGTGGTTATTTCTGGAAGTAGCGATGAAATTATTCAGGTTAGTTCACAAGGCTTTGAATTTTTATGTATATGCACTGAACAGTGTTTTAAGACTATCCCACTCTCTGTATTTGTTGGAAGGCATCAAAGTAAGGGGCGACCGAATAATTGTGACCTACTATTTCTCTGCATCGTACCTTTGTTTTCCCGGGTACAAAGCTATTGCTTTTACCAGTACCACTATCAGGACACTATAGTGGTATTAGATATGTTGCGATCTAAAAGTCTCTTCTCCAATAATAACTAGATATTGTTCTGTTTGTATTTGCAAACCAACCATAGTAACTATGAGTTGTTTTCTATTTAGTGAATATAAAACATTCCTCCCATTTATGCCTACTTAGTGTATTGGCGTCACCGAAATAACCAAGCAAGCATGTTGGTTTCTGGTTATTATAGTGGCAAATTTACAGTTGGGTGGAAAAACAAGTTCTTATCAAAGCACCCACGTATTTATTATTGTGTAGTGATTTTTTGCAATAGTGACAGAAATTTCCTCAATTTTATTTTTTAGGTATTTTCAGTACACACAAAAACTCGTGTAGGTGCACTCGAGATGCATGTTGGGACCATAAGACAGCTTAAGTTTATTACAGAATCGCATGACTCGACGTGCTGTCATTTCTTCAGTGCTGGTGATGATGGATGTATTGGCATCTGGCGTTGCGAAACCCCAGGAGGTAAACTTACCAAATGCCCACACCCATCAGCTTGGGAGTGTATTCGTCAAATTCGTCGCCATAAAGGGTCAGTCCAAAGTATAGCAGTGCATCCTTCCAATCGCTGTCTTTTCTCCATCAGTGCAGACAAAACGTTTCGTGTTTGGAATCTACTTCGTGGTCGACAGGCTTATGCTGTTAGACTGAAAAATCTGGCAAACGAGGCAAATAAAATCTCAATGTCACCAACTGGTAACCGTCTTCTTTTTATTTGGCCAAATAAATTCGAAATGATTGATCTTGTCAGCGAATCGCAGACAAGTCCCGATACTATCAAAAATGAAGCTTTCATCCTTGGCAGCGTCCAGTTTTCTAATCCCCCTACTTCAGACCCTACTTTCTTCAGTGAAGATGATGAACTCTGTAATCAAAAGTCTTCAGACCCCCTGTTTGCATATGTAATGGTTGGCATTGACGCATCACTTACTTTGATAAAATTCAACGTTCGAAATAACGCGTCGGATTCATGGACACCTAAAATTACAAGCAAAGTAGTTTTGCCGGGTAAACGAATCAAATTTATTCAAGTTCTACACTGGCCATCTCATCTGGAAGAGAAAGAACCAATGTGCTCTGGACGTAGTCGGTTGGTAGTAGTTGTTACGACAGAAGCCGATGGTAGCCATGTACGCGGTTATGCTGTAAACCTCAATTCGACGGACGTCCTTGAGCCAGGAAAGTCATTCATCCCTTTGTTCACATATGACATCCCAAGCGCTCGAATTACCGCCCTAGCTGCCACCTGGACTTCAACAAATTACATGCATCATTCGAAAGTATGAAGATAAAATTAATCCCTAGTGAAATCGATTTTGAATGACATCTACCTGTACATTTATTATGTAAATAAAATCTCGTGATTTTCCGATTTCATCAGTATTAATTACATCCAAATCATTGAACATGTAGCCTAACAACGACGTAGATTGCCGAACGTACGCAAAAGTCGACACGTCCTAACTACATATATGTGACAGCGGAAACTGCTGTTTAATAGCATTGCGCTGTAGTGGCTGATGAAATAAACAAGAAAACTACGTGCCTGAGACACTGATACTCTTGAATCTATGCACTATGTTTTGCATATTGTAATGATTCAAACATTCCGAACCCAAACAGATCTGTAGCTAAACCACTCCTTGCCTCTCGGGATTTGGTCACATGCAATCGACTTGCTGACGATTCTTTGAGCTAAGTGCAGTGTTTGCTGCAAAATTGGGGCTTTTTTATAACCAAATAGATGTACTAGGCGTCTATTCATTATACCGAGCTTCCTTCAATCATGGACAAATATCAAGAACTAGATGGAATGTGCACGTGTTTGTTATTGAACCATGTTCAAATGAAGTATGTTTTCCCGCACCAGTTTACAATTGCTATTAAAAAGCATCAAAGGCGTTTCTAACGTATATTTATGTCGAGGATATTAAATACAGAATCCATTGTTGGCGTTTACAATAAATTAAGTAACCTGCGTTATAGTAAAACAAATTACTTTGGAAGATTCGCAGCTTTTCTGAATTCATACTGAGTAGACCCAACTTTCCATTTTGGGAACTAATTACCCTAAAAAAGAACTACAAATTCATACACTCAAAGAAATATAGCTATTATATTTAGCTATGTTGCGTTTCAAAATATCTGAACACGGACCCATGACACGCTCAAATCGTTTGCGGTCAAGTTTCACGCAACGTAGAGTACCTTGGGCAACAACAGTTGCTGCACGTGGTCGATCAAGCAGTAAAGCAATCTCACCTATGTAAAGTAAATTTGAAAAGTAAAATAAGTGCGTAGAAAATTAATGATATATTTAATTTTAACAGAAATTGCTAACAGTACGACTTTTTACGGTGTTATTATATAAAATGTAGGTGTATTATTGGGGAATATATACCAACATGTGTCAAGGGGACAAGTAACTGATAGTTGTGCGTTACGATTTATGAGCTAAAATATTCTCAGATTATTCAAATATTAGATTCTAGAAATGTGCTACTTTCTAACGTTTACATCACTTGATTTACTAGCGACTAATGCACAAAATGGGCGAATTCAGTACTAGTTACAGAACGATTAGATGTAATAGGATTAACGAGTGATGTAAACAAGATAGCAGAAAGTCTTACTGTCCGATACAATACGATTAAATAAATTAGTGATGCGAACAAGCAATTTTCAGTGACATGTCGGTTTGCTGGAATTTCTCTTCAGTGTGCAAACAGAAGAAAAACTGAAAATGCTACTAAACAGCACCTTGACAGTTCGACTGAACACGAGAAGTTGACTTACAGTCTAGTGCAAATATTGTAACCTGTTACAAATCTAGGATCAGATTAACTGTATCTATGACTTCCAAATATAGTCTCGAAATGTCCTGGTACGACCGAGGGTGGGGAGAATTAGCTCACTTTCTCGAAATGCTCTCACATGACCACGCGTATACAGCCACTGCTAGGGAAGTCCTACTCATCGCCTTCTCGCGGCTGGGGTGTTGTTTACGAAATTGACAGGACGAAAAGCGAATGTCCGGCGCTTCAACCGGGTTGGTGGACACGGAGGACCCAGCTAGGGGAGTTGGAAAACCCTGGTCCCAAACCACTGGTGCACATGGGCTCCAGGGTCATGATGGGACAAGTGGCGTATGGACCAATTATTGATCACCTGCTACCATGGGACTGCACCTCCTGGCGTTGCACCATTGCTTTGTGGATCACACCTTTAGGCTGAAGGCTCCGGGCGTGACCCCTTGAGAAAATCACCTGCTTTGGTCTGGATACCCGAGTAGTATCACAGCCCACACACAAATCAAGTGACTTGTGTGGTGCAAATGTATTCGATGCCCATTTGTACCAATATTTATGTTTAAATAAATAAATAGAAACCGAAAAATCAACAGTGAGGTGTGCCGAAAATAACATCTAAATGGAGTATTATTTCCATAAATATACGCATACCAGGGAAGTGAGGCAGTTTCTCGCCAGAATAGAATTCGTTTAGTCAAAAAATTTAGCTCACTCATCAAACCAAGCCCTATATTTTGAGTCAGTTTTTTATTCAGATGAGTGACGTATTTATTGAAAGCACCAGTAAAATACATCAAGGACGAGGTCGTATGTTCATTTTACTAGTAAGGCACTCTTAAGTTAAACATTCTACTTTGTCAAAATAAGCTGCTCATGTAGATGAAACAGCGAGGTATATACACTACTTATTTATAGACTAGACAATTCACTTTATAACAACTTATGTCTTATCTAAATTTTCTCGCTAATATCTACCATAAACCGTTCAGATGATTTTGGCGGTTCGAATTCACCGAAAGAGATTTTCTGTTTCTTCGGTTACATGTGGTTTATCATATTACCTGGAATAACGTGTTCTGAGGTTTATTAGAACGAAAACTTTTTATCTTCATCAGATTACACAACACATGAATGGCTCGATAGTAAATAATAACTGGTCTATTTTACATTCAACGTGATTAAATTATCAATGAGTACCAATACTTAACAAAGATAAAGGTGGACAGTACAATATTGGTCGATCTGAAGTAGTGAGTCAACGATCAACTAATAAGACGTGCGCATGAAAATTCCACAATATGTTAGGTTCTCATGAGTAACATACTTTAGATTGCACGAATCTAAGTCCTTTTTGTCTTGCACCTTACCGTAATGGATGACGCACTTTCTGAAATACCAGTCCACAAACTTTTGTAAATGTCAACGTTTACTCCACTCCGTCCCAGCATTTTTGCGTGCATTTACAATTTACTCTTCAAGATTCTTGTAATTTACCTGGATTCACGAATGAAAGGATAAAAACTATTGAAACTCGTTTATTTGTTTAAGCGTTGAACGACCTGAAACATGTTGACTTTCATTCAATTAATATAAATCAGGTGTATGATTGCTTTCACATGATAGAGTAGACATAGTTATACTCTAAAGACCTAAAGAATTATCACTTTCGTTTAATGAATTCGAACTAGATTGTATTCTAATTTCGTACTTTACAGATTTATGGTTAAAAAAACTAAGTCGATAATGTCCAGAACTCTAGATTGCAATTATAATAAATTATTTGTAGTGAGTGCTAAGTTTCTAGTGTTTAATGAGATTAAAGCTTCACGACGTAACAAAGCGTTAAACTGTGTGTTTTGATACCCTATGTTAAGCTAACAACTTATACAAATTCTTTAGACAAATAAAACACTCACCAAAATAGTCTGATGGTCTTAATTTACCGACTTCAACTTGTTCACCCGATTCAGATGGCCTTTGTAAAACAGCAGCTGTACCCTAAGGAGAAGCAATTAAACAAAAGTAGTAATTATAACACAGCTTCAGTTTATTATTATTCTGACATAAACCACAAAAAAAGAACCTAAAAATAAGATCAGTCAGCTACAACGGGAGCCAGGCATATATATGCATCGGTACAAGTTGCCATACCTCATTAACACAGCAAGATGAACACCGGATTCATAAATGTAGTTAATTCAGAGATGGTAATATATAGAAGAAAGATGGCATATAAGGATATAATACAGGAAGAAAGAATCAGTTGGTAGAAAGAAAGATATGAAGCGATTTTAATCTCTTAGTTTAAGGGAAGACAGATAGTGTATACACCTACGCCATTGTGATCGATTCTGGGTCATGTCACCCAGAGTCTCCAACCATTGGTTACGATAGTCATGTGGACCCCAACCAAGTAGTCTTCATCTACCAAAATGGCTCAGACTAGAGGTTAGTGTCTTCAAGCAGTGATGCCACGTTTTGGATTGGCCGCCCCTAATTTTCTTCCAACCATCTCTAACCCCGGTCAAAATTGCACGACAAGGTAATCGGTGTTCAGGCATACGTAACACATGGCCCAACCATCTCAGTCGATGAAGATTAACAACGTCATCGACTGATTTATTATCATTCCCTGGAAGGAGATCAATACCCGAGAATTCAGTCGACGAGAAAGTTATTTCCATCAGTATGTCTATGATGAAGTTAAACAAAAATGGAGAAGGTGGACAGCATTGACGGACACCACTTGAGGTTGCAAAAGTAGATGACAGTTCGCCATAAGCCCTGAATCGACTAGTAGTATTCGAGTAAAGGGCCTTTACAAGGTTTATGTACTTCTGGGGTATGCCTTTCAATGACAGACACTTCCACAGAATCTCGCGGTCTACCGATTCAAATGCTGCTTTTAAGTCAAGAAAGACTACCATTGTCGGACGCCGATAAGTATGTCTATGTTCTAGAACCTGACGAATCTCCAACACCAGTCAGCATTGCGTTCCGTGGTAATCGGTGTTCATGCATACGTAACACGGCCCAACCATCTCATTCGATGAAGATTCACCTCATCAACTGATTTACCATCATTCCCTAATACCCTGCGTCTAACCTCACTATTACTTACCCGGTGATCCCAGCAGATACGAGCAATATTTCTAGGACATCTGTGGTCAAATACGAGTGTCTTCTATCCTCGATGGCCATGCTTCGCTGCCGTAAAGTAGAACAGAACAGACTACCGCGCAGTATACTCGTCCCTTAGTTGATAGACGGATATCTCGCCTTCTCTATAGGTGACGTAAGTTGGCAAAAGCCAAACAAGCTTTCTGAATCCGTGATGAGGTTTCGTCAGACACCAACCCATTAGGGCTGATCAGACTTCCAAGATAAGTGAAGTTGTCGGCTTCTAGTCTATTTTACTCCCTATCCTCAGTTTAGGTGGTGACGCAAACGAGTCCTGAAGCAACGACTTGCATTTAGAGGGAGAGAAGCGCATACCAAACATCCTGACATTGTTGCTCAGCGCTACCAAAAGACTACATTTTATCAGCGTCTTCACCAAACAGGACTACATCATCTGAGTATTCTTAGTCGATAAGTGGACCTCCTGGAAGGAGATCAATGCCAGAAAATTCAGTCGACAAAAGCGTTATTATCATCAGTAGGTCAACAATGAAGATAAACAAAAATGGAGAAAGTGGACAGCCTTGACGGACACCACTTGAGGTTGCGAAAGCAAATGACAGTTCGTCATAAGCTCTGAATCTGCTGGTAGTGTTCGAGTGAAGAGCCTTCACAAGGTTTATGTACTTCTGAGGTACGCCTTTTAATGACAGACACTGCCACAGAATCTCGCGGTCTACGGAATCAAATGCTGCTCTTAAGTCAAGAAAGACCACCATTGCCGGACGTCGATAAGCATGCCTATGTTCTAGAACCTGACGAATGGTGAATATGTGGTCGATGCAGCCACGACCAGGTCTGAAGCCAGCTCGATTATCTCGTGTTTGCAGTTCACGAGTCTTAGTTAAGTGTCTGACAATTCTTGAGGCTAGTATTTTAGATACTATATTAGTTAAACTAATCCCTCTATGGTTGTCACAGGATGATTTTAACCCTCTCTTATATATTGGGACGATAAGTGATTGTGACCAGTCAGATGGAATAACGTCTAACTCCCAGATCTTAGCTAAAATATTAGTCAACCTAATCGCTAAAATTGGACCACCATCCTTAAAGACCTCTGGAGCCAATCCATCTGGACCAGCTGCCCTTCCTCGTTTCAGATTAACTATAGCCTTTTGAACTTCTGCTAGAGTTGGGGGACCTACTTCAATGTTCCATTCACACTGTCTGGGAATGGAGGGTAGTTGTAGAGTAGCTGAAGGCCAGCTGAACTGTTCTCTGAAATGTTCCCCCCATCGTTCTAAACGTCCGGACTGAGAGCAGCTGAGAGTGTCATCTTTTTCTGAAATCGTCTCACTTACACTTGACTTATTAATTCCAGTTTCTTTTATTAGTCTGTAGAGCTGTCTTGTGTTCCCTACAGCCGCCGCCTTTTCCATCTCTTTTGCTTTCGTTGCCCACCACTGCTCACGGTCGTTCCTTAGACTTTTTCTTAACCTAGATCTGATTTGTTGTCGCTCTTCATCGTGTTAAGAACCTGATGGGATGAGTTTACCAGAATCCATCAGTGCAATAGACCTTGAGGAAATCCATTGGTTCTTTGTAACCCTGTGGTTTAAATCACTGATAGATGTCACTGCTGTTTCCACAGCTGTTTGTATATCTTTCCAAGCAACATCTGGGTCAGCCTCATTTTCAGAACTACCTAAGTGTGACCCCAGTTGTTCCTGGAACCTACTTTTGGTTTTCTCGCTACTCAACTCAGTTCTAATGGGTCTTTTTACTGTGGCTTTCTTGCGTCCAGTGAGGCGCAAGCAGATGCGTGCCCGTATTAGGGCATGGTCGGAGTCCAAGCAGGTACACCAGAATGAACGACAATCTTCTACCGACCCTCTCCAACGATGACTGATGGCAATATTGTCTATTTGAGTTCATCGTTGGTTTGGTGTAGGGGGTCGCCATGTTAGACGATGTCTCTCCTTATGCTTAAAATTCGCGTCTGCTAAAAATAAACGATTGTCTGTGGACAGTTGCAGCAGACGACCACCATTATCTGTTTGTTGTGCCGGAATACCAAAATATCCAACTAAATGCCTTTCTGTTTGGTTTAAACTACCTATCTGGGCATTAAAGTCACCTGCTACGAGTACTATGTCTGAGCGTTTAGCTTTCTGAAGAAGTTCAGATAGCTTTCTGCAAAATTCATCTTTCATTTCATCTGAGTGGGAGTGTAGGCAAGTTGCTTCAAAGCAAAAATTGAATATAAATGGTCCAGAAATAATACCAACCACTTAGTGACTGATTCCGATGATGATAAGTAACATGACCACATAACTATGTATAGTCCTGTTTCAGAATTGTAACAAAACGGAAACTGTCTTTGACCAGGCAAAAATACGGTCCCTGGTCAGATTAAGACGGTTGATTAATACTATCAGATCTTTAGACCAGTACAGTCAAGCTTCTGCCACTGTTAGATTCGAGAACAGCTAGGTTTCTATACAAAAATGCTGAACCACATCACAATATAAGACAGAAAATAAATTACACACAAACAAGCTAGAAAAGGATGTGAATAGAATGAGCTGGGGAAAACTGACTGGTAATAATTTAGAAACAATAGGCCTCATAATAAAAGTTTCCAGGACAAACAGAATATAAAATAAGTAATTCGGTCACTCAGTAATCATACAATAATGATACATATAATATTAATCCATAAAGCGACTCCACCTGTAAGTCTTCTAAAGCTACCGCTGGTCCCAAACCCGGGTAAAGCAGGAGGGTTGCGCATGGGGTCGGCAACCCTATTCTGTAGAAAACAACCTTGCTAAAAAATACCAACCAGAACAAACAAATTAAAACATTTAAGCTCTGCTCTCCGAGTTGAAGGAAGGACTATGACGTCTCACGATGAAAACCAAGATACTTCGAGAGTCACAAGACCGATGTCCCTTCTAATGACCGGAGCAACAGTTTTTATAGGTACATGGAACGCACGCACAATGTGGGAGACCGGAAGGACTAGTCAAATAACAACGGAAATGAGGAGATACAACTTGGCAGTACTCGGAATCAGTGAAACTCACTGACCTAAGCTGGACAGAAAAGGTTAGATACGGGAGAGATGTAGCTGTACCGAATATGGAGGTATCATGGGACGACATGGATTGGGAGAGAAACGAAAATGGGGAAAGATTTGCAAGCCTATGTGCACTCAACAAATTGGATATAGGTGGAACAAAGCTCCCACACACAGCCACATGAGTCTCACAGGAGAATCAGATAGATCATATTTGTATCATTAAAAAATTCAGAAGGACAATGGAAGACGTGAGAACCAGGAGAGAAGCTGACAGACTGGAAAGAAGGACGACTCATCAAAATACCAAAGAAATGGGATCTGAGCAAATGTGAGAACTACAGAGACATCACACCAGTGTCAGTACCAGGAAAGGTTTTAATAGTGTTGCTCAACCGGATGAAAGACGCAGTAGATGCCCAACCTCGAGCTCAACAGGCTGGATTCCGTAAGGACCGGTCGTGCACAGACCAAATCACCACACTACGGATCATCGTTGAACAACCAATCGAATAAGGCTCGTCACTATACATCAAATTCCTTGAATATGAAAAAGCATTGGACACTGTGAATAGGAGAACATTATGGAAACTTCTTCGACACTATGGAGTGCCCAAGAAGATCGTCCGTAGAACATCACCTGGAACTCGTACAACGAACTACAGTGCAAAGTCGTGCATAAAGGACAGCTAACAGACGCTTTCCAGGTGAGGACCGGGTTCAAAAAAGTATGCTTACTATCTCCCTTTCTTCTTCTTCCGGTAATCGACTGGATTATGAAGACCTAGAAACCTGAGAGAAAACACGGAATACAACGGACACCTCGCAATCAAGCAGAACATATAAACTTCGCAGATGACCTGGCCCTTCTATCCCATACACACGAACACATGCATGTCAAGACAACCAGCGTATCAGAAACCTCTGCATCAATAGGCCTGAACATATACAAGGGAAAATCCAAGATTCTCAAATATAACACAGGACACTAACCCAACCACACTTGATGAAGAAGCTCTGGAAAATGTGGAATCTTTCACGTATCTGGCCAGCAGCACCGTCCACGAACGTGGGGATCCGATGCAGACGTAAAGGTGAGGATTGGAAAAGCAAAGGCGGCATTCCTACAACTGAAGAACATATGGAACTCAACACAACTGTCAACCAATATCAGTCACAATCTTCAATACGAAAGTCAAGATAGTTCTACTATACGGAGCTGAAACTCGGAGAACTACTACAACCATCATCAAAAAAGTACAAGTATTTATAAGCAGAAGGCGGAAGAACACATTGTGTCGGGAATCAGAAGCAGACATGAAAAGGATGAATAGCAACTGGAAAGGATTTTGCAGCACAGGGTTTGATGGAGAGTGCTGGTGGGTGGCCTATTCTCCTCAACGAGTGATAGCAGGTATAAGTAAGTAATCCATAAAGCAGTTACAGTAGTTACCATTCTTCCAGTCTTAGTTCCGATGCATCACATATTATGTGACCAAGACGCTTGGAAGGAAATATGATAAAGCAAAGATATAATTTGCGTACGAAGAAGCAAAACTAGCTACTGAGGCTTAAGAACAGCAGAACAAGCAGGTATTACACTTCGAATGGCTCTTGATTAGACCAGGACCACTAAGCTCATTGGATATTGAGGTGACACACACAGACCTACCTGTAGATGATAACCCACTAACAGTAGAAAAATCTAGAAAATTTATCAGACGAGCCAGGAATGGTAAAGCAGAAGGATCAGACAGCACACCAACCGAGGTGCAATGTCAAGTATGGAATAAACTGTGAATCTATTTTTTGTTCTTTCCAGAAAGATTTGAGGTGAACAACACAACAGACTGGAAAGTAGGACGCTCCTTTTACATACCAAAGAAAGGTCTTAATATTTATCAGAACACACTGTCTGTACCAGTTACGGATTTCAAAAGTGTTACTAAACCTAATGAACAATCAATAGACACCTAAATTACAGATCAACAACCTGTCATTCCTAAAGATGGGTCATATACGGATCTAATCGTGACACGTCGGATCATTGAAGAGTTTATTGAATGGAACTCCTTGCTACAAACTTACTCCCTCTACATTCACAAGTCAGTCAGTCAGTAACGACGTAGAACTTCACAAGGGAAAAAGCAAAATTCTGAAGCACAACACTCAGAGCACCGACCAAATCACATTTGATGGAGAAACTCTGGAAGAGGTGGAAATTTCCACATACCTGAGCAACATCATTGATAAACCAGGAGTATCTGATGCAGATGTAAAGGCACGATTTGACACCACAAGGGCAATATTCCTACAACTGAAGAATATTGGGAACTCAAAATAACCACCACACAATACCGAAAGAAGAGTCTTTAACATTTACGTTAGAACAATTAAATAGTATAAAGCTGGAAATTAGAGAACTGCACCACCATCACCAAAAGAGTAAAAGTACTCAAACAACTGTCGATATGAAGTATACCAAATCCAACAGCCAGAGACCATAAGTGATAACCTACAGTGGAAGAGAACTAACAAGCTCACAGTTGACAAGAATAGAAAAGACACTGAACGTATATGGAACACACTTTCATTAAACTATCAAACTGTATCGAAAAGCAAACACCAACATGGAATCCCCAAGGCAAAAGAAGAAGAAGATCTAAAGACATAGCGCCTGGAGTCGGACGCAGAAATCATGATTATGAATAGCACTTGGTAACAACTGAAAAGGAAAACTCAGTAAGAAGTTAATTGGAGATCTCTGGTTGACAGCCTATTGTTTAATAAGGGACAACAAACTTCAGTTAGTACATCTGTACGGTTTGTGATATTATGAATACACTTTATGGGATTTCGCAAAGCATATCACTCAGTTTGGAATGATGTCAGTAGGTTTGCAGATTCTAAGTATCTAATATTATGTCAATAACAAATGGCAAAACATATTAGCCACAACAAGAAACAAGTATCTTGTCTTAAGAAGTAAAGAACTGTACCTCTGTAATAATAAAGAAGTCATCACCATGTTCACCTTGACGTACAACAACTTCACCATCTTCGAAACGGACTGGTTCGAGAGCATCTGCTACAGTTAATCGTTCCCATTTGTCAAGATTATCTATAATGAAATTCAAAGATACCATATATATATATATATATATATATATATATATATATATATATATATATATATATAGTGGCAGAACTTGGAGATAAACATTCGTAAGGAGATAAATACTGGAGGTTATTTTGGTACAGGACGTTTGTTGAAATTGTTTAGTTTGCAGCTAGCATCACGAATCGACTTTGTCTAAGGAACGAAAACCAGAAATACCTATAATCATCTTGCTCTTGTATGTGACACAACATGTGTTTTAGCCTACGCGTATCAGGCCTTTAAGCGAGCGCGTTGACTTCAGACTACAGACTTAGCATCCAATAGCGTTGATTTTTAATTTCATTACGTTCACGAGCATCCGTTGAACAATATGAGCAGATATGAAGCAATTATTATTGGTATTTACTGTACTTTTCCTAAATGAACTGCTTAGTGGGTTTTTGTCATTTCAGAAAGTAGTGTAAGCAAACTTATATTGTATGACTTTAAGTTTCTTTGGTGAATCGAATCGACATTGTAAGCCAGACGTCTAGACACAGGAGAGTTGTTTGGGTGGCCAATGAGGACTCGGTCTCAGGTCAGATAACGCCGACTGTCTCCTACAGTTTTGCACAGACCACAACCTGTTTCTGGTCAGGATCAGCTTTCAGTATAGTCATCCCCATTGTGCCACCTGGTACCATCCTTCTGCAACCCAAGTCTAGACTCAGACCGATCACATCACGACCAGTCGCCGTTGGAGTGGTTGCCTTATACCTATGTTTCTACGAACTAATTCTTTCTTCCTGTATTATATCCTTATACCCAGTCTTCCTTTTGTATATTACTACCATTGAAGTAACTGCTTCTATGAATTCGGTGTTCATCTTGTTGTGCTAATGAGGTGTGGCAACTTAGACCGATGCATTTATATGCCTGGTCCTATGTTGTAGTTGACTGACTGGAGTGGTTGTGTACAAGGCTGGCGCCCCTTTTTGAGTACTTATCTGAACTTTGGACGTTTCAGTGGTTGGTAAATTCATTGTCCTAGAAAAGATAATGTAAGCAAACCTACTGTAACTCCAATCGTAAAACATATCAAACCTAACTAGATTCAAGTCTAGCTGTCAACCCACCGAAAAGTGTAGATGAGCACTGGCTGCATTTACATGATGCTATGAAAATGGCGAGTAAAGTCTCTTGTGGCTACGCAAAACTTCCCACACATAGGCACTAGGTTTCTACAGGTTCCCTACAATTTCTCGAGGCACGTCAGTCTACTTCGGTCAACCGCAAGTTTGACGATAAACGTAGATTCTTGCGTAGTGAAATTGTGCGAAGTTTATGTAAGGACCGTGACGCCCGATTGTCTGGTTGCTCCAAGGAGTTGAAAGCAGCAGATCGATACGGGAGCTGTTCCAACCCACCCGAGGCACTGGTAACGAGAAGTCTGTTGTAAATGAAATAATCTGTGAAGCCGGTGATACTTCTGTTGGTAACATTCAACGGTATTTTGGACAATGGACAGGGCTTTTTGAGAAACAATTCGGTTGGTCTGTCACCCCAACAGCATCGCTTAGATATTTGTCCTTCCTAGTCGGTGACGACTGTCCTCCCAACGAGGCGGAGGTCTCCAAGGATCTCTCGCTTCTGAACCGCCATAGGTCATCAGGGACAAAGGACCTATCCCAGATTCTTTATGAGGATAGCGGTGAACTTCTGACTGAGTTGTTTGAAAATATATGGGAAACAGACTATACTCCTTGCTCCTTTTTTCACCCTACTATGTTATGTGTGTGTCTGTGTGGCGGACTCTATTTATATGCACAGTCGTATTAGAACTCTCATTTGTAATTAAATACATAAAGTAACTGGAGCGTGATCTAACTTTCTACCTATAAGATGGACATAAGTGTGCGCAGATCATGCCTACATTGTGATATAATGTCTGCGTAAATAAGTTCATTTGCTTATCTTTATATATGCGTGTTAAAGTCTTGCTTATTCAACCCAATTACTTCGTTTGCCTAGTATTTTTCGGACACTAGTCTACTCAACTGGTTCTTGTATCAGAACACGGCTTGTACAGGAACGTAATTATATTCTAAAGCAAAACATCAAGTTAAATAAGTTGATGTTACAATAAGAATTCATATTTACGATTTTTACACAGGAAGATTCTAGAGTCTTCGCCACTCATCCACTAGCTCTGGTGGGCCCACTTTGTCCAATTTAAGTTAATGACTTTATAAATTGGAAAAAACTACCCGCTCAACTTATCTTTTACTTTGCAACTTTTTATTAGATTGACTTTCTAAAATCTGGTTTTACATTTATTTAGTGATATATTTGATGCCATGTTCCCTGTACATCGTAATTCAGGCGATGTGATTATTCAGCAAGGAGATGAAGGTGATAATTTCTACATAATCGACCAGGGTGAGGTTGATGTAAGTTGAATATATTAATTTATGAAGTTATATTTTTTTTATTCACCTATACGGTTTCTCAGTAAACGTATATCATTATTTGTTAAGAGTTGCACGTTCATCACACTTTGTTAATAAGGAGTAGTGATAACCAAATGCGAGTAATCTATGTATGGAAAATATTTTACCGCAATATTGTAATCACTATCGACTTTCTTAGACTCAAGTAGTCAGTGATTTGCCTTGTATAGTTATGTGAAATGTAATATATCATAGACGTGACAAATTTAGTAATTGAGCAGATCAAAACTTAAATATAGTTAACTAATTTCTGTAGAATCAGGAAGTAATATCAAACTGATGGTATGTTAATCCATTTGGGCCTGATATCAAGGGATTTGGAGTGTCTTAGTTAACTGATACATGAGGGTAGGATAACTTTTACATGATCCTATCATTTTAGGATTATATATATTAGAATTTTTATAATAAAAGACACGAAAGTTTCGTACATATCAGTTCATCGTGAGAATGGAGCACTTTGAATATTGTATATCGTTCGTTATTTTCGACCACACTTATCTTAGAATTTGAATTGTAGTAACATATACAGTCAACTTGTATTCACCAGAATGATTTGTTGACAGTCCTTACAAGTAGGCTTTTTTGTATGATTGTATAGATCCCTTTCTGTAAGGATAATTTTGAATAAATTCCATGAGAATAAAGAGTTTTGCGCAATAATCCAACGAAGATTGACAGCCCCATCAGCCCTGGTGGTTTGTTGTCTGGAAACATATTGACACATTCAGTAAAAACCTCTTGGCCTTTACTAACTTCAGTCGCGTATATAGTTACTATTAAGAACAGGTTTATACTGATCATACTAAAGTTTTTCTGATTTTCGACAACCTACATTTTATAAGTGATATAGACAATGGGCTTTCCGAACACAAGATTTTGAGCGTATTATTATGGTGAATATTTTTTGGACTCAGAATCACCCATCTCAATATTTCACAATATTAAAAAAGAACGTTTCATATAAGGACGATTGTGGATATGTTTCACATGCTAAATCAAATTAATGAATAATAAAAATCTCAGAAAAGTAATAAAAGACATACCTAAAATAGGTACACGACATAGGAATTCCTGATACACTTTTCGACGACGAATAGTACTCCCCATCAATATTCTTCTATAAGAATCTCGATCAATACCCCATAATTTAACTTCCGTTTTCGCTCTAACCGTAGCTGCTCTAGGCGTACCGTAGATGAGAGCTAGTTCACCGAAACTACCTCCTTCCCCGATTGTACTACTATACTCATTATTGAGGAAGATCTATTTAAGAGAAATGATTACAAAATAAATTTGAGAAATACAAATAATACCAGAAAAAAGTAATCATAATATTCTCGTGAAACTAAAAGCGAACGTGAAACCAAATATTAGAACACAACTTTGGATTGAAATACATTAAATCAACGCTATTCTTTATAAGTAAAGTGTCCTTTATGATCTGACTTGAATATGATAGAAGACATAGAAGTATACACTACTAACGAGTGAAGTTTTATAAACAGTTGATGTAATTACATTAAAATTTAATGGATCTTGAAAAAAATAAAGGGGTGTAAAACCAGCCAAATTACTAAACTATAAACACACTGTAACAGTAAGGGGAAATAAACAGGGACGAAAACTATACTGAAGTCAACAAGAAGATTTAGTAAAGAGCACACAGAAGCTGACATTTAATTTTCTACTCATAGATGGATTACAAACTTATCACTATCCGCAAATGCCCTGGTACGACCGAGGGTGGGGAGAATTAGCTCACCTTCTCGAAATGCTCTCACATGACCACGCGTATACAGCCACTGCTAGGGAAGTCCTACTCATCGCCTTCTCGCGGCTGGGGTGTTGTTTACGAAATTGACAGGACGAAAAGCGAATGTCCGGCGCTTTAACCGGGTTGGTGGACACGGAGGACCCAGCTAGGGGAGTTGGAAAACCCTGGTCCCAAACCACTGGTGCACATGGGCTCCAGGGTCATGATGGGACAAGTGGCGTATGGACCAATTATTGATCACCTGCTACCATGGGACTGCACCTCCTGGCGTTGCACCACTGCTTTGTGGATCACACCTTTAGGCTGAAGGCTCCGGGCGTGACCCCTTGAGAAAATCACCTGCTTTGGTCTGGATACCCGAGTAGTATCACAGCCCACACACAAATCAAGTGACTTGTGTGGTGCAAATGTATTCGATGCCCATTTGTACCAATATTTATGTGTTCAAATGTTCTATGGTGGTCTAGATTCAATTGACTCATATCAACCACTAAATTTACTATAATATTATTAGCGATCTATCCAATGATCGATTTATTTGAAGTTATAAAGTCAAACCTCAGTAATGGTACTTACAAACTTATTTATGTTACTTGAAAGTGAAACGCTATGCCTGCACTATGGCACACGACAGCCTCTTTACATACCATCAACTATCTGTCAAGCTAAAATTGACTATGCCCTTCTAGGTATTTTAATTTTTTGTAAAATAAATCTTTCATTCCTTTAAAATAAGAATTTACTATTTTTACAGCTATTTTTATTTGAGAAGTTATAAAAGTGTTATCCCTTTGAATGATTTATTCCACAACTTTAGATCCTTTTTTATAGTTCAACAAATGATTCAGTGTCTTTTGTTATACAACTTAATCAAATTCATGTGTGGGAAGAACTACATGGTTTTTTAAGTTACGTTAAACCATATTGATAAGTATCCTAATCTTTATAATGAATCGTTCTGAGTAATCGAAGTGAACAATATATTAGTTGAGGACTTGTTTCTTCATCATGATAGTTACACAGTTTATTATTACTATTCAAGTTTTGCGAGTAAACATCAGTAGATTAAATGAAGTGATTTGTGTCTAGGTGTGTCAAATACTTTAAAACTAAAGTTGCATATGAGTGTTAATGTCAAGTTATTAATTTTGACAGAAGCAATTTTATAATTTTCAATTCATAATTCAAAACGGTGAAATAACTCGGTCATGTCTGAAGTCCTGTTTAAATATTACTAACACGACATCAATATTTTGGAAATATAACACCATAACATATGGTGAAATAGGGAACTACAGCCGGTTAATCATTAGCAAAATAGAACCTGGGAAATAAGTGTACCACTTCAGGTTGTCATACTATATCAACATGGCAAGATGAAATTAGCAAGACAAATATCGGAGTAATGAAAGTAGTAACGATATCGGTAATAGTAGGAAAGACTAAAGATCAACAATATGATTCAAGAATAAGAAATAGATTTGCGGAATGGAAAATACAAGATAAGATCAAAACTCAAAATCCAAGGAACGATAAATAGTGTATCTATCTGAACTATTCCAACAGATTCTGAGCCATGTCACCCAGTCTCCATTGATTGATTACAATAGCTGGGAAAATATTAACCAGGTAATCTGAAGTAATCAACATATGTCAATACAATATATAATGACTTAATCAACCGGTCGCCCGTATTACTTTGGTCGCTCCTAGTTTTCTCATACACCACCAATCAGTGCATCCAGATGAGTGAAGGCTGAATATATGTGATAAATGCGCCAAATGCATCAGTCGACGGAGATTCACTACTTCATCAACCGGCGAGTGGTCTTTACATAATACCCTGTGTCTAATCTCAACATCGCCCTCTTGAAGGTCCGAACACTGATGAGAAACGTTCCAAAGGCATCTACGACAAAATAGTGATAATCTACAAATACCCTACAATGTTAAAGACCATGTTTCACAGCCATAAAGGAAAATAAAAGGAACTACCAAAAAGTATTCTTGTGTTGTAGCTGGTAGACAAACATACCTAACCCATAGGTAATTAAAGATAGTACAAGCCAAGAGGTTTTTTCTAAATGTGTCAATATGTTTCCAGACAACAAACCACCAGGGCTGATGGGGCTGTCAATCTTCGTTGGATTATTGCGCAAAACTCTTTATTCTCATGGAATTTATTCAAAATTATCCTTACAGAAAGGGATCTATACAATCATACAAAAAAGCCTACTTGTAAGGACTGTCAACAAATCATTCTGGTGAATACAAGTTGACTGTATATGTTACTACAATTCAAATTCTAAGATAAGTGTGGTCGAAAATAACGAACGATATACAATATTCAAAGTGCTCCATTCTCACGATGAACTGATATGTACGAAACTTTCGTGTCTTTTATTATAAAAATTCTAATATATATAATCCTAAAATGATAGGATCATGTAAAAGTTATCCTACCCTCATGTATCAGTTAACTAAGACACTCCAAATCCCTTGATATCAGGCCCAAATGGATTAACATACCATCAGTTTGATATTACTTCCTGATTCTACAGAAATTAGTTAACTATATTTAAGTTTTGATCTGCTCAATTACTAAATTTGTCACGTCTATGATATATTACATTTCACATAACTATACAAGGCAAATCACTGACTACTTGAGTCTAAGAAAGTCGATAGTGATTACAATATTGCGGTAAAATATTTTCCATACATAGATTACTCGCATTTGGTTATCACTACTCCTTATTAACAAAGTGTGATGAACGTGCAACTCTTAACAAATAATGATATACGTTTACTGAGAAACCGTATAGGTGAATAAAAAAAATATAACTTCATAAATTAATATATTCAACTTACATCAACCTCACCCTGGTCGATTATGTAGAAATTATCACCTTCATCTCCTTGCTGAATAATCACATCGCCTGAATTACGATGTACAGGGAACATGGCATCAAATATATCACTAAATAAATGTAAAACCAGATTTTAGAAAGTCAATCTAATAAAAAGTTGCAAAGTAAAAGATAAGTTGAGCGGGTAGTTTTTTCCAATTTATAAAGTCATTAACTTAAATTGGACAAAGTGGGCCCACCAGAGCTAGTGGATGAGTGGCGAAGACTCTAGAATCTTCCTGTGTAAAAATCGTAAATATGAATTCTTATTGTAACATCAACTTATTTAACTTGATGTTTTGCTTTAGAATATAATTACGTTCCTGTACAAGCCGTGTTCTGATACAAGAACCAGTTGAGTAGACTAGTGTCCGAAAAATACTAGGCAAACGAAGTAATTGGGTTGAATAAGCAAGACTTTAACACGCATATATAAAGATAAGCAAATGAACTTATTTACGCAGACATTATATCACAATGTAGGCATGATCTGCGCACACTTATGTCCATCTTATAGGTAGAAAGTTAGATCACGCTCCAGTTACTTTATGTATTTAATTACAAATGAGAGTTCTAATACGACTGTGCATATAAATAGAGTCCGCCACACAGACACACACATAACATAGTAGGGTGAAAAAAGGAGCAAGGAGTATAGTCTGTTTCCCATATATTTTCAAACAACTCAGTCAGAAGTTCACCGCTATCCTCATAAAGAATCTGGGATAGGTCCTTTGTCCCTGATGACCTATGGCGGTTCAGAAGCGAGAGATCCTTGGAGACCTCCGCCTCGTTGGGAGGACAGTCGTCACCGACTAGGAAGGACAAATATCTAAGCGATGCTGTTGGGGTGACAGACCAACCGAATTGTTTCTCAAAAAGCCCTGTCCATTGTCCAAAATACCGTTGAATGTTACCAACAGAAGTATCACCGGCTTCACAGATTATTTCATTTACAACAGACTTCTCGTTACCAGTGCCTCGGGTGGGTTGGAACAGCTCCCGTATCGATCTGCTGCTTTCAACTCCTTGGAGCAACCAGACAATCGGGCGTCACGGTCCTTACATAAACTTCGCACAATTTCACTACGCAAGAATCTACGTTTATCGTCAAACTTGCGGTTGACCGAAGTAGACTGACGTGCCTCGAGAAATTGTAGGGAACCTGTAGAAACCTAGTGCCTATGTGTGGGAAGTTTTGCGTAGCCACAAGAGACTTTACTCGCCATTTTCATAGCATCATGTAAATGCAGCCAGTGCTCATCTACACTTTTCGGTGGGTTGACAGCTAGACTTGAATCTAGTTAGGTTTGATATGTTTTACGATTGGAGTTACAGTAGGTTTGCTTACATTATCTTTTCTAGGACAATGAATTTACCAACCACTGAAACGTCCAAAGTTCAGATAAGTACTCAAAAAGGGGCGCCAGCCTTGTACACAACCACTCCAGTCAGTCAACTACAACATAGGACCAGGCATATAAATGCATCGGTCTAAGTTGCCACACCTCATTAGCACAACAAGATGAACACCGAATTCATAGAAGCAGTTACTTCAATGGTAGTAATATACAAAAGGAAGACTGGGTATAAGGATATAATACAGGAAGAAAGAATTAGTTCGTAGAAACATAGGTATAAGGCAACCACTCCAACGGCGACTGGTCGTGATGTGATCGGTCTGAGTCTAGACTTGGGTTGCAGAAGGATGGTACCAGGTGGCACAATGGGGATGACTATACTGAAAGCTGATCCTGACCAGAAACAGGTTGTGGTCTGTGCAAAACTGTAGGAGACAGTCGGCGTTATCTGACCTGAGACCGAGTCCTCATTGGCCACCCAAACAACTCTCCTGTGTCTAGACGCCTGGCTTCTGCATTCAAATCTCAGGCTAGTACTACAATATCTGTCGAATGGGCTTTCTTGAGACCATTTAACTTGTGGTAGAACTCATCCTTGATAGCATTGGGACTGCAATATGTCAGGGTGTAGGCGGAGATGACTAAAAGATATAGTTTTCCACACCGATTTCTTCTTACTTTGATGAAGCTTTCTAATCTAACAGTATATAACCCGGTGTTAATGGAGATCCAATCGATGGGTGCTGATTCTAATACGGCATATATGGTGACACCAAAGCCAGAAAAACCGAACAAAGATGCCACAAGGTTGCCGAATAAATGCACATGAAACAAGCTGTTCGAATCGACAGATCGCCAGTCAGTTAAACGCAACGTAGAACCTGGCACGTATGTACATCGTTTCAAATTGCCTCACCTCACTATCACAGCAAGTTAAAATTATTATGTCAAATCACAGAGTAGGAGAGTTAGTAACAGTATCAAAGGTGATAGGAAAAATTAGGCATCAAAGATATGATTCAAGATATAAATTGGTGAAACAAAAAAGTTATGACGAATTCAGAAGCTCGTGATAGGAAGAATGGTAAAGAGTCGATGCACCTGCGCTATTGTGAACGATTTGAGCCATGTCATTCAATTTTCTTACCACTGTTTACGACAATCACGCGAACCCAAATCAGGTAGTCTACTCCTGTTAACATAGTTCAGAGCAATTGTCGATGACTTCATGGAGTGATGCCATGTTTTGGTTTGGCCACCCCCAGTTTTCTTCCAACTTACTACCATACCGCACAACATCGCTCGTCGAGGTAGGGGGTGGTTGAGTACGCGTAACATGTCCCAACCACCTCAGTTGGGGAAGATTTACTACCTCATCAATCTATTTACCATCTTTGCCTGATACTCTATTACTAACTCTGACAATTTGTATTCGGTGGTCCCAACCTATAAAAACGATGCTCCAAAGACATCTAATCAACGAATACCTTCTATTCCTAATGGTCATATTTCACCCATTAAATAGAACGAAGAGGACTGATATGCAGTAAACTCGTCGTCTGTTTAACAGACGGACATCTCGCCTACGCCACAAGTGACGCAAGTCGGAAAAAGCCAGTCGATCTTTCTGAATCCGTGCGTAGATTTCGTTAGGCAGCTGACTACCAGGACTGATGAGACTGAAAAGAGTGTTATCTATAAAAGAACGTCTATGACAAGTTTAAATGTGTGGAAGTTAGACAAGGATGATGGATGTCACTTAATGTAACCAATGCCGATAGCGGTTCTCCATAAGCTCTTACTCGACGTGTAATGTTCAAACAGAGAGCCTGTGTAAGGACAAATTACTTTTTTGATACGCCTTTACACGATAGACACTGCCACAGTTCTTTATGATCAACAGATGCAGTGAGTATCAGCAGTACGTCGACGAAGCTTTGAACGAACAACAGACGTCGATTTAAGGCTTCCCAAAGACACAACAAACCTATCTGTTGTTCGATCTGCATTAGTGTGTGAACGTTGTACACCAATTTGAATGATACACGTGGTTTCAGGAAAGCTGTGTCAGGATCGAATTCAACGGAAACACTCATGATTTCGACCAACCAGCGACTTGACGGCGTTTGAGAACAACAGAACTTTCACCATAGTCGTGTCTTTGAGTGAGTCGGAAACTAAAGACATACACAAAACCCGGATAAAGAACAAAATGAAGACACTATAAAATAAATTCAAGGGTATCTATGGAGCTTCGAAAACAGGTAGAGTGATTTCGAACCGTAAATCGAATATTTATTAATAATGATCATCATAAATGTTTGTGTGAAGTGGGATACTCCCAAGGTATAAAGGCTAAGCAGGTGGTTTCCTTAGACTACTCAGAGGGCTGTGACCTAGAGGTTTAATCCACAAATAATTGAAAAAAAAACATTAGGTTTCGTCCCATGTTAGTCTGTTACCGAAAATAGTTTCATAGGCAATTCCTTCCTACCTGATTCTAGAACCCATGTGCATCACTGGTTTGGAATCGGAGTGAAACTTTCATGTTCACCATCCCGGTTGAATCGCCGGACATCAGCCCTTCATTCCAATCTTGTAAACAACACTAGAACAGCGCATAAATGGTGAGAGTTTGCTTGCACAGGCTATAAACGAATAGACGTGAGACCATTTCGAGAGGGAGGGGGGAGGATGATTCTCTCCAACCTCGGTTGTACCAGTATATTTGAGGACGTACTTCAGTCAAATTAGCCTGGTAACACCTTTGGTTTTCAGTTTATAATTCATCAATAAAAGAGGACATGAAACAGGATTTTCATTTCATTCCGTAGAAAAATCACACGAAATACAGTAATCGTTTATTGATGAGACGCAGACAAGCACAACAACCCAGTAACTGATACCGTTCAGTACTATTTAATACTAAAAGTCTAATCTAACCTATCCAATTCAAAGTAAATTCGATCGACTGTTATCTCTTTTCTTAAGTACCATATATTACAATCACAGGTCATTATGGAATATGAGAATCGGGTTAGAAAAGAACGAAAATAAGTTGTGCGGTCACATAGATCCTACCTGAGTTCCTAGCAAATTATTTATAAGAAAGGTGTGTACTACTGTTTTGGTTCGGCGAGAACCCTCCTTTCTCTGTGACGTTTGAGTGAGGAATGTTTGCATAAGTTCATGTTCAAACTATAACCTTTGGAGTAAATTTATCAGGGCTGAAATCATAATCAGGATTATATATATATATATATATATATATATATATATATATATATATATATATATATATATATATATATATATATATATATATATATACTACATACCTAATTATTTAAAAGATCATGTGATTATGCCATGCATAAATTAAGATATACCTGAATTTTTTACATTTACAGGTCGGATTTGATTACACCTTACTGAAAACACACTCGTCCAAACTCTTCAGCTGCTCAGTCATATTCCTATTTCGAAACTTTTTTTGTTACTAACACTAGATGGTTAGTTTTAGTAAACAAAACGAGGAATTGTTAGTTGGGATTATTAGATAAGTTTGTTTAACTAAATATGAACTTGAACTATACGTCACTCTAAGATTGTGCATTTCACATTTGACTACCGGGTTACTTACCACCAATCGTAACGAAACAAAAACGTTGCGTTTTTGATTAAAAGACAAGGGTCGGCTGCATACTACAGTGCTTCCAACATGTACATACTGCTAATAGGAAGGTTCGTAGTTCGCTTAGTGAAAAATTGATTTGAAGATTTTATTGACTGATTGATGGCAATTTGTTTAACATAAACCAAGCTACGAATAAAAATACATACCTCCTTTCCGTCTCATCTAAATGAGAAAATAGGACATTTTTGGCGATAGCCTTTGAAAGAGCTGTCATCGTTTTATAGTCCTTCGGTACAACCTTATTGAAACGAAATAATGATATGTCGATAATAAGAATGAATTTAAACAGAAAAATCACAATCAAAAGAACTTAGTAAAATTGAACTACATAATGACGCTATCATGCTAAATTAATATTCTGACGTCTTGATTATTGAAAAATGGTTTCGAACATTTATTTTCCTAATTTTATTGGTTGATATACTGTCGTTAGCTTTTATACTATAATCATGACAGGTGTTAATGCATTTGGTTATCAAAGTTCGTTTGCTTTCGTTCTATTGTCTTGAATTTCTGCCGGAGTTGAGTTTAGCTGCTTGAATGTTATTCTTTTCCAAACTTTCCAGTTATATGGGTACAAAGGCAATATGGAGATTAGTAAGTTATGCTGGAAAGGCCCAAATGGTTAGAGGGAGGTTTATTGAAGTTGTTATACAGCCTACATTAATCAGTAAAACTATTCAAAATGAATATAGACGACAGAACATTAAGATTTAAGCAGTTGAGAGTCGTGATGATACACAATGACGTTACTAAGTGACAAAATAAAGCACTAAAATGTGATAAGATACTCCAATTGTAAGCTGAAATTAGAGAGATTATGTTAAGATGTGGAGCTTTATAAAGAAATGACATTGAATGAGACACAATTACCTTCTTAACGTAAGATGCAGCATCTTCTTCTGTATAAACTTCACCACTAACTGCTCCTCTTCGAGATCGACGTCTAGTTAAACTAACTCCGGAAGGTGATACAGCTAACAAGCCTCTCGTCCCCCCACTATTTCCCCCATCATAACCACTTCCATCCTCATTCATATTATTGGATTCGTAACTACTATCAACTTTCAAAGGAGTTTCGGTCAAACTTTTTTCAAGAGTGTTAGGAATAAGATTATCTGTATCACAGGAGCATCGATGGTTATTCATTTTTGAAGATTGCCCACAATTTTGAGAGCTTACGGAGGGAATAATAACACCAAAGCAACCACTCCCATGACTTTTAACTTCATGTTGGAAAGGGCGACTGGAGGTATTTGATATAGGTAATGTGTGTGAATCTTCATTGCGTTCTGAGTGTTTATGAAAAGCGAACCCAGTTACATGACTAGTTGATGCTGCAGTACATTTTCCATTACAAACCTAAAAAATTGAACAAAATATAATAAGACAATAAAAAGTAAAATCACATTTAAATACCGGTTTATAGGTGATAAAATTTACACAGACTAACCTAAAACCCTGCATAAACACACTAGTTACATCTAACACATTTTAGTAACTCGGAAGACAGAGTGGATTTTGCTTTTTTTAATCCCAGACAATTGAACCAAATAACCCAGGATTTCCACCAAATAATCTGCAACTTCTTTATATTTCCTATACTGAATAACTATTCCATGACTACCTTAGGTAAAATTAATCATCACCTTAAGTTACGAAAAAGTATTAAAATGACTGTGTAGACAGAAATATGTAGGAGATTAGTGTGATTTTGGGTAATCATTCCCCACACACTATATAATACCCAAGTGCGAGAAAGAAGGCTCTCGAACACTATCCTCAGATAATTTAACAAATTTAGATATTTAAAGTTAGTCTCACATAGATTGTCGTACCGTATTTTATAGATAGTTTTCATTCATTATCAGGTACCTAAACACTGAGTTCTGTTGCTCAATTCTGACATTAATGCGGATATTAAGAGGCTTAATGAAGGCTTTAAGTGTTAATTAGGTGGCTAACAACCACTTGAACCTTAATTAAGCCTCTTAATATCCGTATTAATTTCAGAATTGAGCAACAGAACTCAGTGTTTAGGTACCTGATAATGAATGAAAACTATCTATAAAATACGGTACGACAATCTATGTCAGACAAACTTTAAATCACTAAATCTGTTGTGCGGAGGCATATATAACCGCTAACTCGATATTAGGACACACCTGCGTACTCATTGTTTTCACCACATCAACGTAATCATAATTATTGATCTTCGTATGACTACTGGTTGGGAGTGCATTGAGCGATTCTAATTGGGTAGATTTGTCTGGCTACTTGCTGGTTGGTGCTAATAATCATAGTTCAACTCAAACATATCAAGACAAATTCAACACAGCGGTTGCAAGACAAAAATGAGGATCCACCTAATTTCGTGGCTTCTCTCCTGCTGTTTATTAATGTATTTATGTTGACTTGTTTAGTATCGGGTACAGTAAAAATAACACAATCTCCCCACCAAAAACAGGTTTCTGTATCGCACCTTGGGACTAAAAAATTATACCAAAGCTTTCATTCATACAACTAAACGAGCGGAATTTGATAGTCCGAGTCAGCAATTAATTTTGTTGGGCTAAACTACTACTTTAAGCTTCCAACGATATTAACTAGGCATTTCATGTAAAGTTGAAGGTTTATGCGCAGGAATATTACTGACCAAATGTTGCTATAGATATTTAATGTTATAACTTGCCTCCAACTTCTCAAAATACTCACGGAGAAATGCAATTGGATTACATGGACGATGTAGGCACAAGTTAACAACGCAGTCCCTGAGAATTTCGTGCACATTATGCTGTTTAACATAATCCTCAACATCGCTCATAAACGACTCATCCTCCATTATCGTCAACTTCTCGGAAGCATCCGCAACTCTTGTAATGGCCGCCCGTTCGGTGTAAAATCTCGGTATCCAATACCTTGTATCAAACGATTAATTTCTTTGCACTCGCTTCTTTTTGTTTCGGTTTACTTTGAAGTCTGCGTTAATTCTTAATGGGTGTTAGTCTAGTCACTCGACTACACTAATTCCAGTCAATTTGATAGGTATTTGTGGATTTGTTTCACGTAGTCTGAGTGGGTGTATTTGTTTCAGAGCAGTAAGGTTTCTGGAAAGCAGAAGCTGACACGTCATGAGATAAGGGGTTGATTGGTTGAAATTCGGACACCAATAAAGAGAAAAACAGGATGTAGCAAAGCTAAGAGCAGACGATTGTCTGACGTAAGCAGACAAAAGGTGATCAGCTAATAATGCGGATGGAGTGAGCTGTCCACAATCAAAGAGTAAAGGTGTAAACGTGGATGATAATGAGAGAAATAAGAATAAGCTAATGACAAGTGATAATGATAGTAGTCAGTAGGTTATGAGACATATATCACCCACAGCTATTCTAAGGGGAAGTTAGTAATCCATGCGTGAGTGGTGTTAGTAAAGTCTTATCTCGAGGCTATCCACTCTGTTGAGTCAATTTTCTTTTGGGTTGAGAGAGCGTTTTAAACAGGAGGAACTGTAAATGAAATAAGCGAGAGCATATCTGGATGTGGTGTTTGTACGCACTAATGATTCCATTGTACTTAATGGCCCACTGATTACGAATTCCAAATATAATATGTCCATTCATGCTCATATAGTTCCACTTGCCGAAAAGTACACTATTCTGGGAATTCCTATTTAGTACATTGGGTCGAATACTTCTAATTATCATTCTGGGTCTTTGTTTTCTGATGTCCAATTTTTCGGTGGTTACCTCGCGGCAGTGATTTTTGGTAGGATGTTCTTCTTGAGACGACCCGAGGCACTTAGTATGTTGAGCGTTTTTATCAGGTCATCTCTAGTTCTCCCATAACCCAGATTTATCTAAGGGTTTATGGTCTATCTTTTCAAGGTTTGTCCCTCAGGTCAATCATCCACTTAGTTCCTTGTCTACGTACGTGCTATAAGAGATTTATACATATAATACACATTTCATAAGATAAATATTTACAGCAACGCTTTTTACTCAACTGTCTTACTTTATATTACAAATGGGGAAGAGCAAGTGCGTCTGAGCTATTACTAAATCCACACCAAGTTAGTTTGTGTGTAATACAAAGACTAGAAGATTTCAAACTGTTGTACTTTTGATTGTATTTATTTACTGGATTTATTAATAGTACATTATCAAAACTTCTAGCCTACAGCACCCCAAGCCCAATAGTGGTAAGATACGTCGTCATCAGAAAACGATATATAGGAAAATTTTATGAAGCAATTTAGTGACTCGGCTGAAGAAGTAGTAATGCCGGCTGAATTCGTGATTTTGATTTGCTCAGATTGGATGAATGTTAAGTTTACAGTAATACACAAATCTGATACTAATATCTTCTAACACATAGTACTTATTTGATAGAACAGAATTCTACCACAAAAGAAACTTAATAAGCATAGTGCAAATTACCGAAATCAATATATGTTTCCATAGTAGTAACTGAACTCATACGACGGACTACAGTGCAAAGTCGTGCATAAAGGACAGCTAACAGACGCTTTCCAGGTGAGGACCGGGTTCAAAAAAGTATGCTTACTATCTCCCTTTCTTCTTCTTCCGGTAATCGACTGGATTATGAAGACCTAGAAACCTGAGAGAAAACACGGAATACAACGGACACCTCGCAATCAAGCAGAACATATAAACTTCGCAGATGACCTGGCCCTTCTATCCCATACACACGAACACATGCATGTCAAGACAACCAGCGTATCAGAAACCTCTGCATCAATAGGCCTGAACATATACAAGGGAAAATCCAAGATTCTCAAATATAACACAGGACACTAACCCAACCACACTTGATGAAGAAGCTCTGGAAAATGTGGAATCTTTCACGTATCTGGCCAGCAGCACCGTCCACGAACGTGGGGGATCCGATGCAGACGTAAAGGTGAGGATTGGAAAAGCAAAGGCGGCATTCCTACAACTGAAGAACATATGGAACTCAACACAACTGTCAACCAATATCAGTCACAATCTTCAATACGAACGTCAAGATAGTTGTGCTGTACGGGTGTTGGAGTTGGACAGAACATACATAGAAGAAAATCACTGAAGTGATCCACAAGGGAAGCCCTAGGTCATAATCCTGAAGGAAAACGGTAAAGTGGGACGCCGAAGAACACATTGCGTCGGGAATCGGGAGCAGATAACATAAAGATGAACAGCATATAAAAAGAACTGAAAAGGACTTCTCAAGACAAACTTTGATGGTTAGGGGCCTATGTTCTTCCTCAATGCTGACAGGCGTATGTAAGTAGTAATGGAAGAAAAAACTCTGCGTACTTACATCGATGAAGCTATAGGTGAAATAACATTGTTTTAAAACCAAGGTGAATGAATAGGAATGAAGGCTAGTTGTATATTAACACATCAATCTGTCATTATTATGATAAACCCTATGCCAAAATTGTAGATTTGTCATGATGTGACTACACAATCTATAAGATCTTACATGGAGTCACATCATTGTCTGTTTTGACTCGTCGTACAATGACAATCAGCAATACAATACTTATCGCTTTTGAAGAACACATTTGGTCCGGAATTAGAGTAATATATTTGATGTGAATAGGAGTTAATTACGCAGAACAGCCGCTCCTTCAAGGCCGAGCCATGCCCTAGCAAACAATTGTCCTCGCGCCCACCATCTTTGACCTTCTCTAAGTGCTATATATTAAAATTAAATCTCGGAAATTGTATATTCGGCTTCAAAGATCGTGTGGCTAAGAACCAATACCACTACACTACTTTCCAACCGAGATCTAATAGCAAATCGAGTAGGATCGGCGCACACTTGAAAATACAAACGAAGAACAAGAATCCTCCAGGTATTGAGAAACTGAAAGATGAATCAAAAAGAAGGCGGCAGCAACTGACTAGGAAATACATGTTATTTACACGCGCAAAATGAGAATCTACGTCAATATTATTCAAGATTTAAACAAAGTGAGATTTTGATAATTAGGAATGATTTGGTTTAGAGTTATTTTAGCAAGCTACCTGGAGATGCTCAGTAATAGCCGTTGGTTAATTGCTTAACTAGTGGGCAGTACAAATAGTTTGTGCCTATTAATAGAAAAAGCTCAATACTGTAGAAATGTTGATATCAGTATTACATTTGGTTCATATTAGAAAGTCAGCTGATGTTTATGTCAGCAAGTTGTCCGCATGTGTTATTTCCACCCGCATTTGCATGAGTAAACTAGCTGAAGGAACAGAACTATAAACATGAAGAGGAAGAAACTCAACAAGTGTTCAAGTTAGTTCGTTAAGCTTGATTTGGTTTATTTTGTTACAAAGAGATTTTCCCGACTTCATTTTCGCTTAATCGTGATAGGGTTGACTAATGCTACAAATATGTATAGAATTGTTATCACAAAGTCTTTTAATGCGTGAAAACGCTGATAATTGTGAGAATCTTGGACAAACGGCTGACGTAGTTCGCTCATCATAAATGCATCCTTGAAAGACATGCTATGTATTTAATGTCCTCATGGGCAGTTAACCAATTTTTTATATTCACACAAAGCGATTGCTGGTCTATACAAATCAGTTGCAATTACAAAATTTGAGGTAATACAAAGATCGGTTTGAATGAAATTTATTGATTATAAACTGTTGAAATCAACTAAGCATATCTGCTACAAATATGGATGAAATTTCATGCAATTGGTTCCCTTTATGAACTTAAATAGAGCAAGAACAAACATTGATGCAGAATAGTATGAATTCATATTATTTCGAGGTTTCTCGTCAGCTGCTTACAAACCAAAATTGTGATAGAATTTTTACATGGAGATAGTGTGAAACAATTGACATAAATGAGTGTAAATAACTTGATTACAATAATAACTATATATATATATGCTAGAAACAGGTCAGAGGTCAAAAGAGGGGGGTTAATCCAGGGTGGGTGGTGTAATAATTTAGTGAAGTTCATAAATTGTGTGATAATTGTAGAGATTAATGGAATTAAATAATGATAAGGTAGATTACGTAATAATAATTAAATAGGGTTTGGAAAGTTAAGATGATTTAAGAGGATCAGGTGGTGGAAATGTGTGAATAAAATTTATTTTAAAAATTAGGTAATAGGGGGGTATAAATTATCTTAGAATAAGTAAAGGAATAAAATAACCAAAACACAAAACAAACAGAAACAAAAAGATTACCAGGGTAGTGATAAGTTTATTAAAGTCTCTTTTTGGATGCATAAGTCCGGTTTCAGTTTCTTAATTGCAATGGCTTCAGCAAAGCGGAGAGTGGTAGTAGTTTTTTGTCTATTGATGATTTTAAACGCGCGCATAATATCGACGGTATGCCCGGTGTCAAGTAGATGCCGAGCTATTGCACTGTTAAAAGCTTTAGTCCCTCGCAGCGTCAAGTTCTTCGGAATATGCTCAGAAATGCGAACCTGTACTCTTCTCTCAGTTCTTCCAATGTATGTGCTACGGCACGTACATGTGAATTGGTAAATGCAGTTGGAGCAACTGAGGGGAGAGGACTTGTCGATTTTCGTTTGTTTCAGTGAGCAGTATGTTTTCCATAACGTAGTTAGTTTGGCTGCCGGGTAGGTCACTTTTAAGGCGGAATTAATTCTGTGATTGATAATTCCGGCGACTTCATCTCCTTTAAAGCGTAAGGATAGGAAGCAGGTTTTCTTTTCAACTGTATCATGCTTAATCGGAGGGTTTGTATTAGCATATTTGTGGATGAATTTATCCGGATATGCATTTTCACGTAAGCATTTGGTGATTGTAGTAATTTCTTCTTCGAGGCATTCTTTTGAGCAGATTTTTCGTGCGCGGTCAAAAAGGTTTCGCACAATACCCTTTTTATAACTCAATGGACAGAAGCTATTAAAGTTGAGATAAACTCCGCTCCAAGTATTTTTGCGGTGAATGTGTCTTTGTAGTGTGCCATCTGATGTTCGCCTAATTCCAATATCTAGGAAATGGAATTTATCATCAACTTCATGTTCCATGGTAAATTCTATATCTT